TCAGGAATCTCGAGTGGAGGAAGAGTAGGGCTTTGGCGAAGATTGCAGAGATTGATCGTTGGGAAGGCATGCGTGGCATTGATGATGAGCAGAGAAGTATGAGAGTGGTTTGCCAGGTTGAGATTGCTGAGATTGCTGTGTCGGAGGAGATTTCATGGAGACAGAAATCCAGAGCTTTATGGCTTAAGGAGGGGGACAGGAACACTAAGTTCTTCCATAGGTTGGCTAATGCTCATAGGAGGGGTAATCACATAGGGAGACTTACTGTGGATGGGGTGGTCTCGAGTAGAGAGGACGATGCTTGCAGGGGGATTGCCCGATTCTACTAGAGATTGTTTACGGAGCTTGTTTCTACAAGACCCCGGCTGTAGGGACTTAATTTTAATAGGATTTTTTAGGCAAACAGGGAGGGTCTGGAGATTCGGTTTTCTGAGGAGGAAGTGCTAAAGGCACTGAGAAATTGTAATGGGGATAAAGCTCCGGGTTCAGATGGTTTCACTATAAGATTTCTTTTGGAGAGTTGGGACGTGGTCAAGGGTGAGGTGATGGGTACTTTTCATGCTTTTCGTACTCAGGGGCGATTTGAGAAATCCCTTAATGCATCGTTTATAGCCCTCATTCCGAAGAAAGGTGGACCCGTAGATGTGAAGGACTTTAGACCTATTAGTTTGTTGGGATGCATTTATAAACTAATAGCCAAAGTTCTTTCTTTGAGATTGAGGGTGGTCTTGGATGAGGTTATTTCGGAATCTCATAATGCTTTCATAGGAGGGCGTCAAATCTTGGATTCTGTCCTTATTGCTAGGGAGTGTGTGGATGATAGATTGAGGAGTGGGATTCCAGGTTTTGTGTAAGTTGGATGTGGAGAAAGTGTATGATCATATTAGTTGGAGTTTCTTTCTATATCTGATGGTAAGGATGAGTTTTGGGGAAAAATGAAGGACATGGATTGAGTTTTTCATTTCTTCAGCGAGATTCTCGATGTTGGTGGATGGGGTCCTGACTGGTTTCTTTGGTAGCTCGCGAGGTTTGCAGGAGATCCATTATCCCCACTTCTGTTTATCATTGTGATGGAGGGGGCTTAGTAGATTGATGGGGACGGCTATGGCGGTGGGCTTCATCAGGGGTTTTAGGGTAGGAAGGGATGATATGCATCAGCTGGATTTCTCACCTGTTATTTGCGGATGATACTCTTGTTTTTTGCAAGGCTAAGGTGTCTCAAATGAGATATTTGAGGTCAGTGTTGATCTGTTTTTAGGCAGTCTCGGGTTGAAAGTGAATGTGGGGAAGAGCGCTTTGATTCTAGTGGGAGAGGTCCCGGAGATTGAAGAATTAGCTTCTGTTCTTGGTTGTAGAGTTAGTTCTTTTCCGATCCATGACCTGGGTTTGCCTTTGGGTGTTTCTTCGAGGGTTGTAGGTGCTTGGGATCCGGTAGTGGAGAGGGTGGAGGGGAGGCTTACGGGGTGGAAGAAGCAATATTTATCAAAAGGGGGGAGGGTTACCTTGTTGAAAAGCACTTTGTGGAGCATTCCCACATATTTTTTTATCTCTTTTCCAGATTCCGTCCTCTGTTGCACCTTGTATTGAAAGACATCAGAGGAACTTTTTATGAGGAGGTTTGGGGGATGAGTTTAAGTATCAACTTGTTCGTCGGGAGCAAGTGTGTTAGCCTGTTAAGTTCGGAGGAATTGGGATTAGGCGACTGTTGACTTTTAACAGGCCCTGTTAGGTAAGTGGTTGTGGAGGGTGTCGCTTGGGGGTGAGCTATACCTGGAGGTGTCGGTGTTTGGAAAGCCAATCGGAAGGGATGGAATGAGTTTTCTAAGTATATCAGATTCAGAGTTCATGATGGTATGGAGATTCGATTTTGGGAGGATGTGTGGTGTGGAAATGGTACTTTAGCATGCTCTTTCTCTAGACTTTTTAGTGTTGCGGTTAATAGGCATGCCTTGGTGGCTGATTGCTATCGCCTTGATAGCGGGAGAGCAGTTTGAGACGTGCTTTTTCAACCATCTTTTCAAGACTGGGAGATGGATGATGTTTTTGGTTTTTTAGAGTTATTGTATAGCCAGGTGATCCGTGGAGGAGGTAAGGATTCTCTTGTTTGGATTCCTTCTGCTAGGGGAATGTTTAGTGTGAGATCTTTCTTCGGATGCCTGTTGGACTCAGATGGGGTGGTATTTCCTTGGAAGGCAGTGTGGCGAACTAGGGCGCCATTGAAAGTGGCTTTCTTTGGTTGGACGGTTGTGTGGGGTAAAATATTGACACTGGATAATTTGAGAAGGAGAAAGCATATCACAGTAAATTGGTGTTGCATGTATAAGTGCAATGGCGAGTTGGTTGACCATCTTCTTTTGCATTGTCCATTGGCGGTTGATTGTTGGAATCATTTGTTAGGTCTATTTGGAGTTTATTGGGTCATGCCTAGATCTACGAGAGGTCTAATGGACACCTGGAGAGGGGGTTGGGTGGGACCACAGGCTCGAGAGTTTTGGAGGATGGCGCCTCTGTGTCTTTGGTGGTGTCTGTGGAGAGAGTGGAATAGAAGATCCTTTGAAGGAGAGGAGTCTTCCATCATTGTTCTGAAATCCTCTGTTACTAGCTCTCTCTTTTTTTGGGGTTTAGGTAGACTTTGTTCCTCTGCTGATGAGACTGTTGAGTTATTGGCTTCCCTGGGGCTTAGGGTACCCAGGTTATTGTAGTCTTGTAGGGACCCGTTCCCCTTTTGAGCGCTTTTAGTGAATTGTTTATTTATCAAAAAATATATATATAAGCCTATACAAGTAGATAGAGACTCCACACTTTTAAGCCACTTCGACTTCCTCTTCTTTTCTTTTCTCTGTATTTTCCTTTTGCCTTGCGATCCTCTATCCATCCATGCCTGAGAAGTTCTTGACCAGCTCCAATGGTCTTGTTCCTGAGCCCCCTCCGCCATCCAAGTGGCACTGAGCTCCATACCTTGGAAATGGCAACCATTTTTGGGACAAAGTCACCACTTATCCCAAATCCTCTAACCCAGCCACCAACACCAAAACCAAACCCTTGCTTTTGGAACCTGAAATAGAGCTGCTTCAACAAAACCCACCCACCAACACCCGTAAGTGTGGAGTATCTATCTACTTGTATAGGCTTATATATATGGGATGGGAATCATCTTGCCTTATTTAATTGCTGTGATTATCTCTCCGTATCTTTATGCCTCATAATTCATAGATTTTCTTCTATTTTTTGTACTTTTTTCTAAGGAATTAAAAGCAAACACACCAATTATTCTCAAGTTGACGGTTAATATAATATTTTATTTTAGATGAGGGAGTTGATATAGGGCTCCATAAAGATCCTCTCTCGCTTTAACTCATTTTGTTTATAAAGGAAAATACAAAAATGTTGGAAATGACAAAAATGTTCTTTCCTCTGTTATTCATTCAAAGACAGAACTGCGTTTATTTTATTTTCCTCTCTCATAATTTATCTTCACTATGTACACACTTCAAAGAAAAAGGCAAATTAAATCAACAGGGCAAGAGAGGGAGAGACTGGAAAGGAAGTTTTATTTATTTTGACTAAGTTGATTGTTTTGAGTAGCTTATGAAATTTTATTGAGATTTGCAGTGTATATAAAGAAGGAAGCTTTCTTAATCCCATAAACCATGAAAATTACGGTTTTTTTTTTTTTTTTTAATCCCACAATAGCAGCCAATGAAGCAACCTTCTGTCATTTACCGGAATTCCTCTTCTTCCACCATCATAGTCGTATACGTAACAGCAATAATGCAATCCAGATTTGGTTTTCAGGGTTCGTTTGGTTTGCGTGAAGTAGCCAGAAAAGAAATGGAATTTTTTAAAAGTTTTTGGGAGTTTGGTTAGATGGAAAGTGAAAATTTTGAGGAAAGTAGGATTCTCGCATCTGATGGATTTTCCTCAAAATATATCCCGCATAAAACACAAAAACTGTCTTTTTATATTTCAGTTTCCTAATCTGCCCCCAAATCAGTTGTTTCTCCATCTTTGCTCCTTTCTGCAAACTTTTTGGTATGGTGATTAACTTCAGGCTTTCAAATCTTTTCCACTATCTCATGATTACAAGTTCAAATACTCGCATTCATAGGTTGTTGGTTGAACAATTTTTTTTTTTTTTTTTTCATAGGTTGTTGGTTAAACAATTATTACTCCTTATTCACTAGTTACATTACATCGGCTCACAATTGAATTAGCACCTCATTGTGATTGAAATAATAATTGAGTAGTGAAAAGTTTCAGGATATCAAGTGTAATTTTCTCCAATATCTCAGTACATATACGAATAGCCATTGGGTATAAAGATGATTCATCTAATACAAATTCATTTATTTTTTTAGTGTTTGAAATCATAAGGGTAGTTTCGGCAAGTAAAATTATTTTCTTTTTCCTTTCATGCTATCCAAACTAATAAAATAATATTTTTCCTACAACTTTCTTGAATATTTTTCCTCCTACCAAATGCATGCTGGAAACTTGATTTTCATTTCTTTCACTTCACTTTCACTTTCCATTATTTTTTTTCATCTAACCAAACGGACCCTTATGGTCTAAGAGAAAAAAAAAAAAAAAAAACTTACAGCAGAGCACAAGAATGGTAGAGGAATTTAGGGTAAAATAGGAGATGCGATGGTATTTTGGTCTTTTTCTTTATAAAGACAATGAGTTAGAGTGCTAGAGGATCTTTATGGAGCGTCAATATCAGCTCCCATGTGTGAGAATGCAAATTTTAGGCCAAGAACAAGGATGGGATGGAACTTGTGAAAGCATTAAATTTTGATATTTAATTCTAGACACATTTTTTGAGTTATAATTGACCAGAAAGATGAATCAAATGGACAAATTAGTTGGGTTGTGGGACTGATTATAGCCCCTTTTCCCCTTGAATCTAAATTATTGTATGCATTTTTCAAGTTTTTCCTCCAGATGAGTAAATTCTATTGCATATTCCTCATTAGTCTTATTTTGGTACTTATTTTCAGATTTACCACCGGATAAAGAACCTCTAGACTGGAATACAAGGATGAAGATTGCAGCAGGTGCGGCAAAAGGATTGGAATATTTGCATGATAAAGCAAACCCTCCTGTCATATACAGAGACTTAAAATCGTCCAACATCCTTCTTGATGAGGGCTATCACCCCAAGTTATCGGATTTTGGTCTTGCAAAACTGGGTCCCGTTGGTGATAAAACTCATGTCTCCACACGGGTGATGGGAACCTATGGTTATTGTGCTCCTGAATATGCCATGACTGGTCAACTAACTCTGAAGTCTGATGTCTATAGTTTTGGAGTCGTCTTTCTTGAACTCATTACAGGACGCAAGGCTATTGACAACACGCGCATCCCTGGAGAGCATAATCTTGTTGCATGGGTAAGTAGTTCTTCTCTTTATATTTGCTTGTTAAATACATGATGCCGTAATTGTTGATTTTATTGCATGTCATTGGTTTAACATAAAACAAGATTTGTTTTTATATATTGTGGAACATGGATTTGTAGGCAAGGCCACTTTTCAAGGATCGAAGGAAATTCCCGAAAATGGCTGATCCACTGTTACAAGGCCATTTCCCAATGCGGGGACTTTACCAAGCACTGGCTGTTGCAGCCATGTGCTTGCAAGAACAAGCTGCTACAAGGCCTTTAATAGGGGATGTTGTGACTGCTCTGACATATTTAGCCTCTCAAACTTATGACCCAAATGCAGCCACTGCCCAGAGTAATAGGGTTGGTCCATCTACTCCTAGGAGCAAGGATGATAGAAGGAATATGGCAGATGGGCTTGATAGCCCAGACGAGCCTAGACGGCATGGTTCCCCTTCCACCCATAAGAATTCTCCTGATTTCAGAAAGAAAGAGTCTGTAGGCACTGGTGCACGGTTAGGAAGGAGTGAAACCAGTGGTGGGTCTGGAAGGAAAGGCAGCATGGATGATTTAGAGCATCAGGAATCTCAGAGAGACAGCCCTGTAAGTATGGGGAGAGCAAGAGAAACACCCAGGAACCGAGATGTAGACAGACAGCGTGCAGTTGCGGAGGCAAAAATGTGGGGTGAGAATTGGAGAGGGAAAAGAGGGGCAAATGCAACGGGTAGCTTTGATGGTACAAATGAGTAATTAAACTGAATCACCGAGGTAATGTCGAATTGGTCTTTATAGGGGAACAACTGTTGTATTCCTCCAAGGGTCATCATGAAGAAAACGGAAAATTTGCTGATGTGTCATCCTTTACTATCTTGGTTTTCCATAATCCCCAGGGAATAATGGCTCGTGTCCAACTTTGGCTGTCATTGGTTGTCCTGTATCATTCTTCTTGTGCAGTATGGTACCGAATGATTCAATTATGTGGTGAAGGAGAGACGGTTAAAAGAAGGAATCGGATGAGGGTTAGTGTTTGATTTTGGGCATTTTTCAGGTAACACCACTGCAGAATGTTGTATGGTAACATGTTAATCTATGTATTTATGGCTTTCAAGAGTTGATGATAAAGAAGAAAAGTTGGAAAGACGCCCAAATTTGCCCTAATGTCTTGTATGTTGTGGGAAACATGGTGGGTTTGGTTTGGGTGTCTCATTGTTCCATTGGCACATTTTGAATATTCATATACAGTCTTTATTGTATGATGTCTGAGTTGGTCATGTTTTCGGCTTATAGAAAGAGGTTTGATCCACCATACTAGTCTCTTTATCTCTCTCCCAGGCTTTCCAATTAGGGTTTATTACCATCTCTCTCTCAAATGGGTTCATAACCGATAATTAGCTGTGGTAATTTCTTAGAAGGTATAGAACTTTCGAATGCAAATCATTCCACTATCTGGTATTCAATGTGGAGCAAAAGATGCAAATAAATTGGACTTTTTCTTGTTAAAGCAAATTTGATGCGAGTCCTTTATACTGATGGTAATTGCAAACATTTCTAATCTTTTTTTCATTTTTATTATTTTCACGTGCAAGGCTGTCTTAGGACATTTTCTTTGTTGGGGTGCACATGCTCCAGTTTGGTACAGTTCCAAACTTAAAATTCTCAATAATTTTTTGAAAATTAGAACTGGAACCATTGAGATAAGAAATATTCCACTTTTCAATATATATTATTTATATATATTATCTTTCAACGTGGATGACAAGGGTTTCGAATGGACAATACTTGCTTATTCACCGATAAGTAGGGAGTTTACTGACTTAATAGGTTGCATAATAAAACTATAAGAAGTGTTTCAAATTTTATAAATTGGGTTAACCGCATCTTTCTCTCTCTATATATACACACGCGCTTGCACATGCATATATACAAATTAGCTCTTTAAAGTAGAGAGAAATTAGGATTCAAGCTTTCTAAAATAATACCTTCCAAAAATAAGATCTTATATATATATATATATATATATATAAACAAACCCCATTAACCTCCACTTCCAAAGTAATCTTCATTTTCACTTCAACAATCCTAAGTTGGACGAGAGAAGGGCGAGAGCTTTTTTTTTTCTTTTTTTTTTTTTTAAGCACAAACCGAAAGCATTTTATGATTCTAGCAATGGTTCTTCATATCAATCACATATTCTCCACTTTGAGAAGGTAGAGAGCAAAACCAACCCCTCAAAACACTATTGCTAGATCTCAATTCAATTTTTTATTTTTTTATTTTTTATTTATTTATTTTTTTTGTAATGCCCAAACACATTCTGATATTTATAGGGATAGTGGTCAAGGATGGATAGAGTGTACTAGAGACCTTTGATTTGTATAAGATCAAATGGTGTACTATCGAACAATGAAAATTTTCACTTTCGGTGATACATATAAATATTATATATTGAGAAGTAAACAAAATTCTCCCGCAATATTATCAAAAGAATCACGGTTTGTTTTCAAAGCTGTCTTAGGACATTTTCTTTGTACAGGTGCACACGCTGCAATTTGGTACGGTTCCAGACTAAATCGAAATTAAATTGTTCTCAATAATTTCTTGAAAATTAGACCGTGATTCTTTTGATAATATTGCGGGAGAATTTTGTTTACTTTTCAATATATAATATTTATATGTATCACCTTTCACTTACTTTTCAATATATAATATTTATATATATTATCTTTCAATGTGAAAGGTTTCGGATTCCTGTGAAAATAAATGGGTGTGTGAGTGTTTTGCCATATATATATATATATATATTTTATGGATACCTAAACAAATACAAGTTTATAGTTTATGCAATAACTGGACAATAATAAACCTCTCAACCAAATCACCAAGTGCAATAAGAAACATAGTCACAAATTCCTTTTACCCTTATGAGCACATTCGAATCATATCTCTCTTTATCCAAAAACCGAAGAAGCCATTCAAGGGTTTTGTCTAGCCTTTATAACCGGTTCAACTAGATCATAATTTCAAAACTTTTACAGAAATCAATATTGAAATTTGATTTGTACATCCAACTGTCTTCAAATAACTATAAAAGATAAATTCTCTAAAAACATGCATTTTTGAAATTCAATTTTTAGAAAATAATTTTTAAGAAATTGAACCAAACAGAATTTTTGTATAATGTAGTTTTTTTATAAGGGTGGACAAATAATCCGCGAATCCGATCCGATCCGTGCAGATCAGATCGGATTGATACACCCACGGATCGGTGGTGGGTTAAAAAAAATTAAATCCGTAGCTCAAGGATCGGATCACGGATTAAGCTGTTAAAAATCCAATCCGATCCGTGAGTTCGATCCGATCCAATCCGTGAAATTTATATATATATTTTCAAAAAATATATTAATTAATTTAATTAGTTAATGATAATTTAATTTAATTTAAGGATATATTAGTTAATAATTATTTAAATATATGAATTAATATTAATAAATTAAAATTTTATGTATTGGGTTAGGGTTAAAAGATAAATAAATAATAAATAATATTACTTATAAAAATAATAATAATAATGGATAATGGATAATTTAGATAAAACTCAATCCGCAAATCCAATTTGATCCGATTCATTATTATACGGATCCGATTCGACAGATCTGTGATAGATTAAAATTTTTCTAATCCATTGAAAACGGATCTGATACCTAATCCGATATGTGACCACTCCTAGTTTTTTATTAATAGTTCTATGAAATTCCAAAATTATAAACTAAGCAGGCTTGAAGTTTTCCAATACTCAAACCCATTTGTGAAATCCTACCCAAATATGAAGGTATTTATGGCACCTAGCCAATTTGGTCCCTCACAATAAGGTGATAGATGGAACCGCCGTGAAATAGCTTATTAGTAATATTAATAATAGACTTCATGGCTTATTAGTAATATTAATAGATCACTTCGCAATGATACATATATCACACGTCTTACATCAACAAGCCACAATTATATCCATTTCATTAAGAACGTTACCTTTGGAAGATGGCTACTTCGTACAAAAAGGTGAATTTGTTATTTATAACCAGCCATATTGGATTCACGCTACAAGAGCAGCCGGTCTTTTAAGCATGCGCCTAAAGTTTCCATAGAAATGAATTCATAAGAGAGTCAAGTGGGAACCAGAAATGAGTTGCAAGATGGAGATTGATGTAGTAATCAGTAATATCGACATTTATAGTGGAAATCAATCAGATATTTATATAAAAGCTTCTCAACATTCACAAATATGGTCGATCAAGACCTCCTGAAAGCAAAGGCGGATCTAGGATTTCTGAATGGGATGGATTAATATTATTTATTTATTTTTTTTTTTTTGGGCCCCGCCAAAAGTACTATAGTAATTTATTTATTATATTTTTTTTGGGTGAGCTAAAGCCCATCTTCGCCCACCCCTCCTTCCGCCCTTGCCTGAAAGTCGTAGCACGTATCATACGTACAACTAGCCAATGAGCCAATGATATAAAATCTATTAAAATGAGGTTGACAATATTTTTGAAAATTAAGGATGTAACCATGAAGATATTTTTAAAACAACATTTTCAAATGATGAGGATGCATGTATCATGACTCTTATATTAAACTATTACTGGATTATACTTTATGTAGGTGGATGGATCAATTAAAGTGATAATTTGAAGTAGCACAAAATCTATTGGAGGATTATACTTTATGTAGGTAGATGGATCAATTAAAGTGATAATTCGAAGTACAACATATCTATTGGACTGTTGTGAATGTGATTCTTTATGCCTCCAAGTTTATTGCATCAACTTCAACAATATATATATATATATTTCAATTAATCAATAATTTGGGAGGCATTTACTTAGTATATTATATTTAATGTGGGACAGGGGGATAGGGAAATTGGGACGAGAGTTCTGCTCTCGGGTTGTCGCATGCATTTTGTGTGAGGTTGAAAAAAATTTGTTGACTGCAATAACTGATTCCGTTATTTATAATATGATTCGATAAAGGTGAATTTTTAGTAAGTTTTACTAACCTTTTTATAAATAAAAGAAAAAACTATTTAAGGCCAATAATGACCAATTCAAGAAAGTTACGTTGTTATGTTTATTAATAAGGAAGTACAGATGCTTCTACAAAGGAGTCGTACTCGTGTCGAACACCAACACTTTTCGGATACGCGTCCGACACTTTATATACATATTCATAAATAAAAACCGACACTTCTCGGATACGTGTCCGACACTTTATAAACATGTTCATAAATAAAAATTAATTTTATTATTTCGGACATTTCGCCAGCACTTCCCAGATATTTATAATACAAGTCTACTAAGTAAATTTGAAAATAATATAAATACTATCATGATAAAGTAGTGAAAAAATGGTATATATCATATAAAAATCATTACAATAATAACATAATTTTATTTTCTAATTCATTTCAAAGCAACACTTAGTATAAAAATTATAAATGAATTAAAGTTTTATAATATTATTACTGAATAGATGTCTAAAAATAAATATTTATATTTATATATAATCGTGTTCACGCCGTACTTATGTCCTACTTTTTTTAAATTTGAGGATGTATCCATGTCGTATCGGGCATGTGTCCGTGCTACATAGGTTATTAAAAATTCTTAGTAATTATATATTTTAAAAAATTAATAACTAAAAAGAAACTTAATTATGAAATAAATTATTCATACAATACAAAATATTTGAGAAATAAAAACAGAATATTAAAGTAAAAAAATTAATCTAACTTAAAAATATTATTTGCTTACATATTGTGAGTTGATGACAATTATAATTTTATTTTTTTGTTAAAATAATAACTAGCTAACCAACAAAGATAATCAGAAAAATAAAAAAATAAAAAAAATAATAATAATAATAAAAAAAATAATAAAAAAAAGGTGGTGGTCCCATGTAGTACCAATGCATGATGTAACAGACTGGAAACTTTCGGACACTTTCACCTAGTTTTTTGTTTCTTCGTAATACGGAGTAATATACACACACACACACACACACACACACACACAAGTTATAGGCGTGCCTTATAATCTTGGTCTCTGTGGCTGGGTTTTGAGCCCCTTCGTGGGCTTTCTTTACTCTTGCTTGCCTGTACATTTTGTGCATTTATACACTTTTCATTCTTCAAAAAATAAAAATGTTGAATAGTTATAATTACTGAAAAATTAAATAGTTATATAATTTATCAAAAAAGAAAAAGAAAAAGAAGGAGATATATATCCATTGTGTAAATAGTGTTGTTGGTCGGATAAAATAATAAGATCCACTTAAACTTCGCAATAAAGTCAGATAACTAGTAGAATGTAGGACATGATTTTGGCGAGAGTTGTGGAATTCTAAGAATGCAGCCAAGATGAACCAAGGAGGATTTCACATTTAGTGGATCTACCAATCAGATATTTATGCAAAGACTTTTTCCAAACAACTGCAGAATATGATTATGGTCGGTTCACCTTTGTGAAAGACGTAGTATCTTTATACATCTAGTTGTGTGTCGTCTTTATATAAAAACATGTAAACTTTTGAAATCTTACACTTTAATAATCAATTCTTTAACATTTTCCCCAATCAACACTCAATTCTTTTTTGTTCTATGATTTTTGTCTTCCACTTCCAGTTCACCCTTGCAATTGAGCCTGAGAAAAAATTTTCCCCAAACAATCATTATAGCTTTATCTGTACCCTAGTAACTAATGTTGATAACAAAGATGCCACTTGGGAAGGAGGTGAATTGGTTTGTTTAATGTTTTGGACGTTTTTTTAACTTTGATGACTAATGGGTTGAACCTTTTTCGTCCTATTAATTAATCAACTCAACACACAAGCAACAAAATAAACTCATCCAAAAGATTGAAAAAATGATTTTTATATAGAGAGGGGAGACAATTGAGGATTTTGAGAAAGATACACATCATTGGAGAGAGAATTGTTATATTTGCTTTCATATTCCACACGGCCGCATGTTTGAGTTTTTAAAATAAAAAATTATTTTCAAAAAATTATAAAAGACGGGTCTGGTGTCCGAGCCCATTGGCCAAATTATCTGAAAAAATTATTTTATGAGTTTCCTTAAAATAGAACCAAATTTTTTTGTATCAGGATTTCCACATAAAAGGTTTAGTTTTCTTCTTAATTTTGTAGCATACCATAATTTCATAGAATTTAGAATAATTTAATTTTTATTGGTAAAACCACTTCGCCGTGTCAAAACTGTCAACTGCCAAAACTGCCAATTTGATATGCCCCAATGGTGTATGTCCAATATGAAGAAGCCATGAATATTTATAGGGAATAACGTACGGGTTGTGGCAAAAAAAATTAAGATAAATTAATATCGGAACCAATATTTATATGATATTGTGCACCCTTATACGCATATGTTCCTTTTCATTATATTTAAACTATTGGATAAAGCAAAAATTCCTTGTGGCCTATTTAAATTTGTTTTAATTAATAATGCAGTCACTTAATTATGCTGAAAATAAGTTATAACAGCATAGCAGCCCTCACCAAGTGGTTGCAATATTTGGACGTCATGAAATGGGTTCAGTGGCAAGGAAAAAAAAAATTTTATATATATATATATATATATATATATATATATATATATTTCGCATTTTACTTTTCATACACAATATAATAGTAGAGACTCCATTATATAAGAGTATGAAATGATTAGAATGAAAAGGGATAGAAATAGGAAACACTATTCCTCTAGGATGTTGAACAACAAATTTGATTTTGAAGGAAAATAAAAAATAAAAAACACAATCTTAATGTGACTATTAGTAATAAAAAATTGACAAGAAGCCAACGAGATATGGCATCATATCAACCAATCAAATTTGTTGAACGTAGTAATCACAAAATTCTAATATTCAAAAATTAATTAAGCATATCATAATCAATCTAGAAGCTAAACTGATTAGAAGAATTGTGGTTGATAATTTGATTATAAATCCAGATCACAAAGTGCATTCCATGGCTTTTCTATGTCATAGTATCCATCTAAAGAAGCCAATCCAACATTCATTAACTAATTTTACTGGCATTCATCACGTTGCCCAAACGATTAAGGTCTACAAAACAGCCTACATTCTAATTTATACAACTTTCATTACTACCATATTCGTCTAAAAATTTTGCACTTAGATGGCAATGTGTTAAATGGCTTCTGCTAGGTTTCGATAGAAATCGGCCAAATTGTTGAAAATTCCAGATATAAAAAACAGAGCAACATTACTCTACAAAGGAGACTAGAGCACAACAGTAAACGAAGGTACCGTAAATTGACATCATTTTTTCCTCTTTCCCTGCAGAAAAACAACAATCAGCTTTGGCACTTTTAGCTGCTAGAAAATAACCACATTAGAGAATCAATAACAAATAATTACCGAGCTCACGTAGTCATCCATTAATAATTGCTTCCGCTTCTTTTGAGTTGGAGGGGGGCTCTCAGCTGCCTGCCTTGCCAGGGCACGCTTTGATGGTGTATTGTTCTGAAAAAAAAAATAATAATAATAATAATAAAAAGAAAATAAAATATGGTGAGATCTACAAGGTTCGAAGGCATTTGGTGAGATTTACAAGGTTCGAAGGCATCGGGGCATTGGCTTTAAGTCCAAATAATGTATTTAATCAACTGGTGTAACAGTGGAGACTAATAAGAATAATAAAGTTCCTGATAAAAGGAGGCGATTTCAACCTTGGCAAGCTTCTTCTCTTTACGGGCCTGTCTCTCCCTTTCATCAAATTCCTGGTTTTCCCTCTCCACCAAACGAATGAGGGTATCACATCTCCTTGCGAGTTCTTGAGTTGTGCGAGACTTCACAAACCAATCAAAACGAAACAAAGTTGATGTGCGGAATGCAGCTTTCAACTCATCCCAGTTCCCATACCCAAGCTTGTGAACCATGCATATCTATGTTGAATAAAGCAGTAAACGGAGATAAGAAACCCAATTCCCAAATTGAAGTATACCAGCAATAAACCTGAAAAACTTGAGTTACAGAAAATCTCACCATGAATCTATCACATTCTTCATTGTACAACTTCCCTTTGTTCTGACCATACTGTATCTTCAATTCCAGCCATGGATTCTTGTAGCGATCCAATTTCTTCCCGATTGCTTTCATGATCTCATCTTTCCGAGAAATTCTAGCCTCCCCTCTTTCAATGTTCTTGATGATCCTATCGTAATCTGGTAACACCATGTTTGCAAAATAACGAATTAAAATCTCTAGTCTCAAGTTCAGAAGAGAAGGGTTTTTAACTAATTTAACAACTTCTTCGAAACCAACATTGAGAAATTTATTAAACTAATTTCATACTAACAAGGTTACTAGGGAGTATAAAATTTACGAGTTCCCCTAAAAATAGTAATGTTGTTCTGATCATGCAAAACACCGATATGAATGAAAAAAAATAAAAAAGACAGAAAAAGCCACCTTTCCAGTTTGTCACATCTAATTCACTAGGTCAAAAGACAAAATTAAGGGTACTACCATGCACTACAATTGTGGGAAATTTTATTTAATCTCCACATATCACTACCAAACACTCAAATTCACCTAAAAGTTAACAGTAAAATGACATTAACAAATACAGCTAAAAGTAACAGTTGCATCAGATTAATTTCCATTACCATTTAATTCTTTGTATCTTTCTTTAAAAACCTTCGCATATCTTTCAACTTCTTCATCCGTTTTCCCTTCCATTTCAGAAGCAATACTTTTTATATCATTCCGACCATACTTCTCACAAGCCCTGATGAAGGTATTGAAATCCCTTCTACTCCATGTTGAAAATCCCTACAATTCACAGGAAGACGAGTTTTCATAAAGAGGATCGTGATGACAACCTATTGCACTTGTAAAGTTGCGCATCATATTCATCCACTTACCTCTTCCAACAGCTGCTCCTTTTCTTCCTGTTCTTCAGCAGTCAAGGGGTCTCCCACCTCTAGATAACATGCATACACAATTAGGGTGGGTTCACTAAAGAAAAGGTCAGTTGAGAATTGCACCTTCAATAGAAAAGCTAACATACCTTCAGGCTCATCAACATCTATCGTGTCTTTTATCTGATTCTTTTGGTGTGCTTGCTTAAAAATATGAAAAAATAACACGAGTTAAAGCCAAAAGCACATAAAATTGCTTAGCTTTTAACATTTGCACTAATGAGAGGTTCAAAGCAAAAATGAAAGATACGGGAATTCAACCATCATCTCACCCACCATGAGATAGCGTACTTCTTTCTCATACAGCTCGCTTAGCCTCTGTGTATTAAAAAACTGGAAGTCGTGCCTGAAAATAAAAGGCAAGTTAAAGAAACTCAGAACCTCGACTCCACTCTAAGAAGGAATAAACCAATTTATGAGATGCTTACAACTGTGGCATGCGAGGGATTCGAGGCTCTTTAGGTCTTGTCGGACCACTTTGGCGCATCGTTTGCTTAAAGTATTCAGATTCTGAGTAACTGATAAAGAGGACAAGAAAATCATATTTTCAACTAATAATAGAACAAGCATAAAAGGTATCATGCAAGCAGGAAATGGACATCAATATTACTTGCGCTTCCTCTCTCTTCTTGGTGGTTCCATCCAATTATCACTAACGATTTTCTTGAAATCTAACTTGTTATCCTCCTTTTCATCATCAAAATCATATAAATCAGCAGCTGCACAAAACCAGATAAAATAAATTTAGCTTTACTTAGCAATATGCCAAAAGCAAAAGCTAATAATAATAATAATAGAGTTTTAAAAACAGTAAATAAACATACTATCATCCATTTTAAATTTGATGGCATCTTCTGTAAATTTCTTCATCTTTGCATCAAGCTCAGCTGTTGCCTCTTCTCCTTTAGCAATGATCCTATCTATGTCCTCATCTGTAATTGTGCTGTCCTTGGAGCTAAAAACCATTTCAGCACCAAACCTTACCATTTGCAGTAGCTCATCTTTATTAACAGCTGAGAGAAGCCCATAAAAAGCATTGTTTTAGCTTTTATTCAACAAATTTCAATATTAAGTCATGAAAAGAATGAAACTTCTTTTTTTGTTGGCTTGGGAGGGAGGGGGATAAATATTATAAAAGCCACTTGTATACAGAAATCACTTACTTTTTTGCTCTGCTAATCGTCCTTGTTGGATCACCAAAGCATCAAGTGCAAGCTTTTTGTAAGCCCTCTCAATCACTTTTTCCTCAATTGTGTACTGTGATAAATCAATTAGAAGGAAAAATATATATTTAACACGTTATGATTCCAGATATGTGGCTCCTAATGCAGCACTAATAAACAAAAAGCTGAACCTCGGTACAGAAACGGAACACTTGAACTTCTTTCTTTTGCCCAATCCTATGGGCACGGTCCTGAGCCTGCAGATCAACTTGTGGGTTCCTGCAACGTGATAAATAAGAGATCAACTGAGTTTGGAGATAATATTACAATTTTCTAGTTTCACCAGACAAAAACAAAGAAAATTCTCACCAGTCACTGTCATAAAGAACGACAACATCTGCGGTGGCAAGATTGATACCCAGGCCTCCAGCTCTAGTTGATAGTAAGAAGACAAATTTCTCACTCCCTGGCTTATTGAAGGCTTCAATGGAAGCATCACGATCTTCTCCACCAGTATTCCCATCAATACGACAGTACAGGTATCCACGAAACATTAAATAGTCTTCCAAAATGTCCAGCAGCCTAGTCATCTGAATTTTATAGCAAAAAAAAAATTCACAAAATTAGAATGGAAAAAACAGATCAACATGATATATTATGAGAGAGTTAAAATACTGGACATGGCGACATGCATTAATGACAAAACAATAATAACCCCAGGAGTAACATGGAGAAAATGATCCTTATATGAAAGAATAAATAAATAAATAACCTGTGAAAATATCAAGACCCTTGAATCACGTTCTTTTAGCTTCGGTAGCAACTTATCCAAAAGAACCATTTTACCTGCATTTTATAATGAATGGGTTTAAAAAACAGATAAAAATATAACTGACAAGCACCAATTAACAAACATCACTATAGAAGAACAAGCATACCTGCATTTGTAATAAGATGGTCTCCTGTAGTGTAAGGTGGGCCCGGTTCAGCACCTTGGAATAGATATGGGTGATTACAACATTTACGCAGCTGCATTGCTATATTCAGAAGACGTTTGCGTTCTCCACCAGCATTTACAACCTCAAGATCTTTCTGCAGTAAAGCCTTGTAATACTGCTTCTGCATTTGGGACATACCAACTTTGAGTATCGTTTCCTTCTTGGGAGGCAAACCTTTCTCAACATCTGACTTCAACCTTCGTAAAAGGAATGGTCGGAGGACCTTAATTATGCAGGAAAAAAAGAACAATCTTATCAGAAGGAAGATAACAAATCAGTGCTAAGAAATTGAGAGTTCATTGGCTTACCTTGTGAAGTTGTTGAACAACTTCCTGCTGGTCATTTTCACCAGAAATTTGAAACCATTCATCAAATGTTTCAGCTGAGCTAAATATCTCCGGCAATAGAAAGTTCAGAAGAGACCAGAGTTCATGAAGATTGTTCTGCACAGTAGAATAATTACCAAGAATATTATGTCGAGCTTATGATAACCAATATATATATAGATGTGTGTGTGTAAATGAAGTCATAAAATCAAAAATGGGGCACGTGCAAATTATAGTGGAGCGCTCACACCAGGCTCCATATATATAACTGAGACTTAAAATAAACAGAAGGGTGGAAATATTCAAGATCTTCCAGAAAGCCAAAAACAAAGCGTACATGCATCATTAATCCATAGTAGTCAAAAGCACTGGGCGGGCACACCTCAGGCGCAAGGAGCCTCAAGGTGCAGCCATTGCGCCTGGAGTACACCCATGCGAGGCTTCTTTAAGTAGGCCCACGCCTTGAGTAAAGAGGCGCGGAGCCCTAGGTGCATAAAAGGTGAGCCTCAGTGAAGTAAAATTTTTATCTCTTCCTTTTTACTTATCACCATTTGATTGGCAGACACAGTAAAAGAAAAAAAAAATGAAAAGAAAAGGACTTCAGTCACTTGACGTTTTGACCAAAAAACAAGGATACCAAAAAAATAATAATAAAAAAAAGGGGGAAGTTATCAGTCTAGGGCTTGGATAAAGCTCATTGGTCTATCTGTCTACTGCAATTGGACTTAAAGCTCTCCTCTATTTCTTCTGCATATCAACTAAGCACCGTAACCTGTTTGAATTTCAAATTGAAAGCTCTATTGAAATACAAACATCTGTTATTTCACTCTAGAATCTCACTCCAGAATCTGTTTCAGTTCTCAATTGAATTACAAACATCTCTTTGTTAGTTCTCACTCCAGAATCAGATTTTCTTTTTTATATGCCTCAAAATTGACATGCTATTCATTGCTTTGAAATTGACATGCTATTGCTTTGAAATTGATGTGCTATTGAACTTTAGTATTTGGTTTAGTTGACTTTTGCATCTTTATAATTACTATTGCATCTTTATTGGGTGCCACTTTTTCCCCCCAAACTTGCGCCTCACTTCAGTCAATCACACGCCTCAGACTCCAGGAGGCCTTGGCGCCTTAGTGGCCTTAAGCCTTTAACAACTATGCATTAGTCTCAGTTATTTATCAGGAACTATAAGTCTTGAGCCAGCAAGTTTCATATCGTCAGAAGTACACCTAATACAATCCCTACAAATCACACGAAGCTAAAAGAACTCCGCCTGTGAAGCTCGGCAAAAACATAATCCACTGGATACCAAAGTGGTCTAGAACTAACTACATTCTAAATATCTCTGGCCTCTTCAGAATGAGGCAGAAAATGGTATACAGCCTTTTTGCACATACAACACCAATTGGAATCATATTCCCTCACAACCAAACTATTCCAATTGTTTTTTTGTCTAATACAAGAGAAATCGGAGAAAGGTAAAAACTATTTTGTGCGGGTGGCAAGGATAATCATAGGAATAATAATAGAAAAATATATGAGAGAGAAAATTGTAGAAATTACAAGACAAGGAAATAGATTAATAGCTATCAAACTTGTATTAGGCACAAATATTTTGAATGTAATAAGCGCATATGCGACACAAGTAAGCTTTAGATGAGAGTATAAAAAAGGCATTTTGGGAGTCACTAGATAAAATGGTACAAAATATACCGAGTCGCGGGAGTGTGTATATAAGAGTTGACTTTAATGGGCAAGTACGAATTGACCAAATAGGATAGCCATGTATCCATGGAAAATATGAATTTGGGGATAGAAATGAGATTCTAGAATTTGCAAAGGTTTATGATTTAGCAATTGCAAATACCTTTTCTTTTCAAAAAAGAGTAAAATTTAATTACACTTAAGAGTGGTATGAATAAAACACAAATTAATTGTCCATATAGGAGAGGCCAGTTGACATCATGCAAGGATTGTAAGGTAATTTTGGGAGAAAGTCTTACCATCCAACAATGGTTGCTCATATAAGACAGGTAATTAAAACCATTAACTACCAAAAAAACCAAGAAAAGGGCACCAAAACATAAAGTGGAAGGAGTTGAAAGGTAACAAAGAGATAACCTTTAGACAAAAAATGCTACAAGAAACACAAAACAACTGGAAGGACAATGTAAATAGTTTGTGGATGAACATGGTGCATTCTATTAGGAATGTGGCAAAAGAGACCTTGGGGGAGATGGATGGAAAGAAATTTATTAAAAAAGAAATATGGTGGAATAATGAAATACAAAAGGTAATACAAGATAAGCAAAGTTTTATGGAGTAGAAAAAAAGTAAGAATCAAGAGGAACTAAAGAAATACAAGAAACTAAAAAAAAAATGAGGCTAAGAAGATGGTAGTTAAAACCAAACAAATTTTCCTAGATGAGTTATATGAAAATTTAGGTACAAAAGAGGGTAAAAAAGGTGCTCCCTCCATCCCACAAAAAGTGTACACCTTTCCACTTTTGGTTGTCCCAAAATAATTGTCCCAATTCAAAATCCAATGTACAATTTTTTTAATATTCCTAATTTACTCTCCTTGCCCTGAAGCTATAAAAGCATGTGGACCCACCATAGAAGGGTATATTTAGAAACTCATTCTCTACCACTATAATAAAAAATATATATATTTAAAACTACACCCTTGAAAAGTTAGATTCCCAAAATAGGGAAACTTTTTATGGGACGGAGGGAGTATTTATAAATAAGCAAAAATTAGGAATAAAATGACTAGAGATGTGGATCAAGTCAGATGTATTAAAGATGTGGATAAAAAAAATATTAGTTAAAGAGAATGACATATTGAATAGGTGACAAAATTAATTTCAACAACTTCTAAATGAGGAATATCCTAGAGAGGACATTGGGAATAATGAACCCAATCTTATTATGATACATAAAATCAATGGATCGAGGTAGAGAACACAGTACCAAAAATGAGAAACAATGAAGCGGTAGGACTGGACAACATCCCTACAAAATCATGGGGAACCTTAGGAAGGGTAGGAGTTGAATGGCTGACAAATCTATTTAATAAAATTTTAGAGGATAGTACAATGCCCAGTGAATGGAGGAAAAGTACTATAATACCAATCTATAAGAATAGCAGAGACCTACAAAATTGTAACAAATTATAAAGGAAATAAATTAATGAGTAATACTATGTAATAATGGGAAAGGGTAATAGAACAAAGACTAAGGAAAGAATCTACAGTGTCCAATAAAATCTAAGCATCCATCAGATAACAATCAACACTTTGATGTCAAATCCGTAGGGGGGGATAAAAGGAAAAATACCACCACCCCTCCGTGTTGAGAAACGTGTCAACTGCCTACCCCATTCGAAAAAGAAAATATAGGACATATTTTGGTAATTCTCACATGCGCAGTAGCATGTCACGTGCCTCCAAGTTTCAAAAACTGTTATGGCAACTTATTTAGTCATGTCTGTGCTTCTTAGATAACAAACTAGCATCAAGTCTGATTTTAAATGTAGAAGGAAAACAGGCAAGTACACAATGCAATGAAAAAATATTGGATGTCCTAGATACCTGAAGTGGTGTTCCTGTTATAAGTAGGCGGTAGTTAGTACTGTAAATCCTCATTGTTTTTGAAAGAAGTGAATTCTCATTCTTAATCCGGTGAGCTTCATCAATGATAATATAGCGCCAGCTAAAGCGGCGTAAGCTAGTTTTCTCTTTAATGGCCATTTCAAAACTAGTGACACAGACATCAAACTTCCCAGCAACCAGTAGCTCATCGCGTATATACTTCTGTAAAATTAGATATTGAGAAAATATTAGAATCCAATTATCTTTTTTCATAAGAAAGCAATAGATTGATAATCTGAGAACTACGAAATACAAAAAGTTGACTCACTAGAGTTTAAACTACTTACCCTTTCATCAGGATTTCCTAGAAACTTCACAGCACGCAAAATTGGACAAAAACGTCGAATTTCATTCATCCAGTTACCAAGCGTAGACTTTGGAGCAACAACCATGTGAGGACCAGCTATTCCCCTGAATTCATGCAGATAGCCCAACAAGGAGATGGTTTGCAATGTTTTACCCAGCCCCTACACAATGTCAACAACAAATCATCATAAATGAGAAAATTCAAGTCAAAAATTTGTAAAGCATACATCACAACAATGATATGCAACAGCTAGAAGAAGAAAGACATTAAGTGTGGCATAAAGCTGCATGGAATAAGGGTCAATTCCAAAGATGACAACTTCCACATACCATCTCATCTGCGAGGATCCCATTTATGCCATTCTCATAGAGCCGAATAAGCCAATTTAGCCCAGCAAGTTGGTAGTCCCTCATCTTTCCATTAATACCTGCAAAAGAGAATGATCAGAAAATGTAAATTAACACTTTGAAATTAAACCACATATCAATATAACGGAATGTCGGAATGTAAACACAACAAAGGAGATCTTCAGATTAGCATCTATATAAACAAAATCTATAATCTGGGATGGGGTCCACTAAACAAATTGGAATAATGGCTCCCAAATGAAAGGGATAATCATGAGTCAAGTAGTACCTTTCAGCTACTGGTTTTGGTCACCCTATGAGAGAATAAGGTAATATAAATGTAAATTAAACACACAGATCGAGAGATCTTTATAAGAAAAGAAAAAGAAAGAGATTGTACAAGAAGGCTGTACTAGCAGCCGCGTGCTTCCTGTCCCAGAAAGACCATCTTCTTCCTCCTTGAGGTATTCTTCATCTTCTTCCTCTTCAGTTAACTTTGATGCATGACGACCCCTGAATCATATAATTAAAGATAAGAAATCCATCATTAGACTTGATTGGATTTTTGTATCTTCTATATTTTCCTCCTTTTTTTTTTTTTTTTTAAGTTTTTGGGAACTATGAAACTTGGCCATATAACAAAAATGCACAAAACAGTGAGTTATGAAAAAAGAACCTCTTCATTACAGTTTCATTAATCACATAGAGCAACCTAATAAACTATGTGCAATAAAAGACAGTGTTTTGAAGACACAAACAGAGAGTAAGCTCTTCAAGAGGAGAAAATTTACACCTTCCTTTTGATTTCTTCTGAGAGGCAGACTGGCCCTTTGCAAAATGAGCAAATATCTCTGTTTGCTCCAAAAGATACTTTAAGCGCCCCTTTCCCTTATTGTTCTGCCATAAAAATGAATGTTATTTCCTAAGTTATTATATTCAATAAAAATTAACTCAAAATATGATCTGCAGAAATATCAGTCCTCTCATGTAACACTCACCATATCAGCATCAATGGCAGCATTTTGAGCATCTAGTATTTCTTGAACCTTTTGTTTCTTTAACTTCTGCATTTCTTTTAGTCTGGCCTTTTCACGCTTGCCAATTTCATTATTACTCACAGCATTCTCGTCCTGCAGGCAAATATGAAAACAACTTAAAATAATAATAATAATAATAGCCCAACCTAACAGTACACATTATAAGTGGAACTCTAGAGAAACCAACCTAATTATATAAAAATAAAAAATAAAAGAAAAATTATTAACTACAGTACTAAAAACACCCAACACTTGGGAAACTTGTTAAATACATATAACTTAAAAGTATAATATAATAGTCCGATAAAGAAGCATAACAACTCCGTTTATGATCCCAATTAAACTCAAAATGAACAAAATCATGTTCTTTCCATGAAGCCATCTTTCAGTGGCGAGTAACAGTAGTGAAAGGCAAAGGATAGAAATAAATTTTGAAACTAATATTTCTCAGTAGTTGGGAACTGAAAAAACTAAACGCTTCAGTCAAGTAAGCCTGAAAAACTATTAGGCCTAATAGACTTAAGTTTTTAGTTTCAACATAAATCATAGGTTACAAATTTTCACTTTCTTTTTTATTTTTCTTTTTCTTTTTTTTTGGGATAGTTTCAAAGCGCAATTTTCATTACAGCATCACAAACATCAATGCATACACAAATGAGCAAATTAACCGAAAGAAACATGATCTTAAACTGGAATATCAAATTTGTACTAATTTCAGGAGAAAAATCATAGTAAAAACAATCATTCAATATAATAAAACTGTAAAGACATCATATTTTTAACTCAGGCAGACATAAAGCACACCTAAATACTAGCAATTTCACCGTAACTAACGTAAACCCTAGATTTACAAATCCAATCACCATAAATACCACATAAAAAACCTAGAGAGCGCACCAAACCACAAGCCAGATGACTCAGATCTAAAGCACGCAATGGAAAATCGCGAACAGTACTCGGAACATGCAATCGTGAATTACCTCTTCAGTTTCTTCTCCTTCTTCCTCCTGGTCATCACCGGCGACGGCGTTGTCTGACGGCGACTTACCGTCGGCATCGTCGTCCGAATCAGCCGTTCTGGCGACAGCCTCGAGCTCTTCCTCATCTTCCTCCTCGTTGATTTGAGCCTCAATTTGCTCCTCCTCCGACGAATTCGACCCACTCGACAGAGATTCCTCTGTTGAATCCTTCGATCTCGAGGGTTTCGCCATCGACAATAGCTCCAGAGAGAGAGAGGGGGGGGGGGGAGGCGTTTTAAAGAAAATTCGGAACTAGCGAAAGGGTTTTTTATATCGCTTTGATGGTAAAGTGTGTATGTGTACGGACACTTGGACTTTTGAGGGTTCGAACTGAAACGAGAATTTCCCGCCGGTTATAGAATGGAAATGCGATTTCCCGCCATGGTGGGGACTATTGGTGGTACCGAGGGGCTGAGCCCTTTGGCTGGCTCGGCAGGGTTGGGTGTTAGCGGTTCGTGCGGTGCACACTTGCACCATGATTGCTTCTTGTCATTTTTAATTTTGATGTTACGAATATACTTTTGTTGGCTCAATTTCAAAATTATTTTCAACTAATTTAAAGATAAAATTTTGTGGTCTTACTTTTTTTCCAAATGCAATTCTCAGTTGGTATAAAATGTGACTCTAAGGAAGATAAAGTTATTGGCTTAAGCTTAGGTTGAGGGACGAGAATCTAAGGTGGTGTCCTTTGGTCATTTTGGGCTCAATTTATAAATTTTTGAATAATGATAGGGTTGACCTTAGCCAATTAATTTTACGAGGCTAATATCATCATAAGTCATAGCATCAGAAATAAAAATGGCATAATGATAACTTCAGCCCCTCACATAAACAAATCGGAATTGTCCAACTTTTGGACTCCAAGTCATTATTTTAAATGTCTTTTTTCCACAACCTAAAAAATGTTGTTATTAAGATTGTCATTGTGTTTGGCCTTAAATTTTCAATGGGAGCCTTTCAACTTAGATTTTTGGATTACCAAACCATCTTTTACGCAACCAAATAATGGAATTAGTCTTTTAAGTGAATCAGATGACTGTTGGAAGGCAAGGATCACCACCTTCTTTTAGGTTCTTCAGTGTCTCAACAAAGATAACTTTCAATAACAATGGAAGAGTAGATGAAAGGAGCATTAGGAACTGCAATCGTTCATCAATTTCAAAAAAAGTAAACTTACAAAATAAAAGATAAGAGGGGATGGAGCCAATCGTTCAATCTTTATTCCATAAGTAGAATTCCAATACAAGTTTACAAGCATAGGAATTGACAGAGTATAACACTACTCCTAAGGAAAGTAAAGTATAAAGAAATTACAAGTAAAAGGAAATAAATACAACGAAAGTTTGAAATTGCAAGATTTGTGAACCTTTTGCACAGCATTCTCCAGCGCCTTTTAGTTGATTCCAAAATCGGTTGAGGGCGGTTATGCGGCGGTTGTAACCAACTGTTGAAGTTGAATTCAAATATTGTTGGAAAATATATGGTTCAAATGACAATTAAGATATAACTAACCTTATAATAATATGTCATGAGATAATTAATAATACGCTAAAAATAATTAATGCAAATTAAAGCAATAAAATAATAGTAATAAATAAAGAACATGTTAGTATTAGTCTATCTTTACTTTTCCGTTTTAGTTTTGATTTGCTTTATTCTCCATTTTCAGTTACTTAAGATCCAACTGGGTTAATTCTAGTGTTTTAAAGATCTATAGATGCCAAGCTTCAAGGAGGAATTGAAGAAAAGATAAAAATTCAAAGTCAAAAAGACCCAATTGATCGGATCACAGTTTGGATTATTGTTCTGAACCCGATCGATCGGATCACTTTTCGGAATCCGATCGATCGGACACATAATCCGATCGATCGAATGCATGCCAGAAAGTTGCGATCAAACTTTAGATTTAAAGACCAGTTCGTAGTACACTCAAATGATGAGCCTTGTGTATGATTTCTGACCACTTTGGTAGCCCATGGGTGAAGTATAAATTGAAGATCAAGCCATTTTTACAAAGATTTTTACATTTTGGGGATCAAATTTGGAAACGCTCTCTCTACTTTTGTAATACCCCTAATTTTTAAAGGTTTATTTATTTAATTAAATTGTTTTTAATTGATTTGTTTGGCTATTTATTTATTTAAATTGTCTACTAAGTTGTTAGAGTGTGGTTATAATTTAATTGGATATTTAATTGTTTAAATATTTTGTGTATTATTCTGTCAACTTGTTTGTGATGTGAATTGGCATGACATAAATTGTTTATGTGTTGTGTTAGCATGTTAATAGGTTGTTTGCTTGTTAATTATTTGGGTTTAATTCAGTTAGACCCCCTGTGGTTTCTCGAATCTTCAAGGAGGCCCCCCCACATTTGTAAAAATTCTGATTACATGTAACGACCCGGTCATTTGCTTTCCTTTCCTTGTTCCTGAAATTTTACAAATGAATTTTTTTCGTTTAATTTTCTTTTCTGAGCTCTGTTTCGTGTTGCTTAGTGTCATCTCGAGTGCTCGGAATTGGTTTCTGAAACTCTTTTACGTGAATTGACAACTTCCTTTGAGGACCGAGTCATTTTCGCATTTTTCGTTTTTCGGACACTATGCGTTATTTCGTCTTTTCCCTATTCTGTCATTTTCCCTATTTCGTCTTATCTCCGTTTGTCAGTTTTTGGCACAACTTCACTTCTCATGCTCGGAGTTGGTTTTTGACTTCACGTGCCTTCATCTTGAGTGGTTTTCTCGAAATACGTATATTTACTTTTGCAAGAAAGTACTTTGGTTACTCCCGGTGTCTACAGGGGCATAGATGTACAATTCTTCAGAATCTTTTTCATTTCTTAGGGTGTTTTTCGTAAATATCTTTTGAAGATATTTTATTTCAGGGGCATCTAAGAAAATATCTTTTGGAAGATATTTTCATTCTGGGGCAATTTCGCAATTAACCCTTTTTGTAGGGGCAATTGTGCAATTAACGAAAGTTATTGCAAAAATGTCTCGTCTGGAGCTTGGATCCTCGTACGGTATTCATTTTCACTTTTCGTTGACTCGTAAATTTATAGAATTTCCTTCTAGTCGTTTTCTCCAGTTTTAGAGATTTCTGGCCTCGGTTGTCGCCGAACTTGTTTGGGGCATATCTCTCTGCACGGGACTCGGTTTTTGACGCCGTTTCTTCCGTTGTTCATATTTTCTCATTTTGAATCTTTTTTGTTCACGGAGTTTTTCCGCTTGAACACGTTTGCTCAAAATCCACTTTTCCGGACCCGGCGGGGCCTTTTTAGGGCAATTTTTGAGACTTACTATAAATAGAACACTTAAAGAAGAAAAATCAGATTTTGATCATCTTCCCCACCTCTCTTGGCTGGATCTCCTAGCAACCATGGCTGCTACTTTCTCTCTCCTCCTTTGGTCCACTTTTCCTTGGTAGAAATCCTTCGGCCTTAGCATTTATTACTTCCCTCGACGTACTCTACCTTTTGCTTTTATTAGAATCCATTTCCAACGATTTTTCGAGTTCAGGTTTGGAGTCAAGTTGAGATTTTCATGGGGCTTCTTGGGGATTCATATAGATCGTGTTACCCCCGACAAAATCTAGGAGTTTCGTCGGATTCGGAGCCGTTTCAATTTGGTGGGAATTTAGGATTTTCATCTCAAATTGAGGTAGGGGATGTTTTAGGTTTAAATTCTTGTTATATAGCATGCTTGTGATGCTTATACAACTTATTGGCATGATTAAATATAAAACCTAGAGATTTTATTATTCATTTTTCTGTTACGGGATCTGATTTTCCCGGTTGCTCATGACTTGGTTTGAACATGTAGCATGATTTTATATTGCCCCTTGATATACTCATTGTCTTGTATTAAAATTGGAACATTTGAATAAGTATTAAAGATTTTATTTAATATTTATCTTAGGTGAAAGATTAATTCACATGGCCTTAACTAGTTTGAAATTAATATGTCTTAGCATATTATATTAGGCCTTAACATGCTCTTCAACATAGTTGAATTTGAAAGTAATTGGAGGTGTTTTGAAAGTTAGTAATTACTAATTAATTTGATTAATTAATTTGCCCCGAGTGCACTATTCACTCTATTTAAATTCCGACTTGATATTCTTGACTTACATGCCATATAACTTCACATATATTTGATTTAGAATATTCGGTTGGGTTTTCAAACCATTCATTTAATTAAATTCCTTGTTTAAGATTTAATCCTCATGGTGATATACAACTTGGAATTGAATTATGGCATGCTAGAAAGTTAAGCTTAGGTATAGTTATTCACATATATTAAATTGGGATTAATTGCATGAGAATTGCAACTTTTAATTTATATTTAACTTTAGTGAAAGTTTAATTCACATGGTCGTAAATTGAATGAAATAAACTTGTAATGTGATATTACATTAGTCATTGGCATGTTCTCTAAGATATGTTGAATTGAGAGCATTTGGTTAAGTTTAAAAATCTAGAGATTTTAATTAAAATAATTAATTAAAATCTATTTCGTGGTCCCATTAGCTTAATTAAGGTTTTAACTTGATATTTGTATTGGCCATGACTTGTTTACTATATATATTAATTTGGGACTATTTGAAATTGTTTTAGAACCTTGGGATTTAAATTAGCATGATTTAATTAAAGTCTACTTTGTTGTTCTAACAATCTAATTGAGTTTTAGAATGGATATAGGTGATGACCTTGCCACGTCCTTTAACATGTGTTAAATTGAGGTTAATTGGAATTGAATCGGAATCTATAGAATTTAATTGTGTTTATCTATTTAAATTCTATCAATTTGCTCCATGATCTAGTTGTGTGTTAGAAGTGGTTTCTATATTCAAATCATGGACTTAGACTTGTTGTATATTCATTTGGTTATGCTTTGAACATTGGATAACATAGTTGTTATGTTTGTACTCATGAGAATATGTTTTCCTTATTAAATATATTGTTGCCTTGTGTAATGATTTGCACATTTCGTATTTAACATCTTTCATGCATAGCGTGTAACGAATCGCACACTGAAGATTCGACATTCATCATATCATAGTAGTTGTGGATTTAGAGCATGTATTGTATAGGTTTCCAAATTTGGTTGTGCTCAGTAGATAATCGATTATCTTGCATATTCCTGTTGATATATGCGTTGTTGCATAACTTGTTAATTTTGGAAATTTGGGGATGTCGTTGTTTGACTATGGCTAGGACGTGATTCTAGTACGGGG